AAATTATTAAAATTTAATTTATAAATAATTATAATAAATAAAAATTAAATTAAATTAAAAAATTAAAAAAAATCATAAAAATTTAAAAAAAAAATATTTTAGTGTAAGATAAAAATTATTATTTAACATATAGAAGTTAATTTTATAAAAAATTAGTGTGAAAATCAACTAATGTTAATTGTTTCGCTGGTCAAAGTGGTGTCATAGCCAAAAAAAAAAAAGAAGAGTTAAGCAATTTTGATTGGATGTTTATTATCTTAATTTTATTTAATTATTTGAATAAATGAATTTGATTTTATTTTTTTAATCATATATATTTAATTAGAAGTCAAAGATTAACTATTTAAAGCTAGAATTTATTTAAGAGAATTGAAAATTATTTATAGATATTTTTTAATACACACAAATTCAAATGAATTAAATCCCCTATCATAAAATTAAGGGTGAAAATTATTTGTCAACAAAGACTTACCGATATACTATATTGGTATGATCTTTACCTATTACCAAATAAGTCCATAATCCCTCATATTTTAAAATGTTTAAATGTTTTTAAAAAAGTATTTCATGTGTTGCTCATGACTGACTACATCAACAATAGACAACTTAATTAAGTTGTCTGTGATATTAGTTCACTGACTATATTATCCAAATATCATAACCCTATAATACTAAGTTAGAGATCTTAACCCCTGATTTCAATATTTTACTTGATTAGTCATTTAGCTAAGGTATGGTTTGACTATTTTCGTACCAAAATTACATGGACCCTAAAGGAAATCAACTTTTAAAACAACTTAATTCACCTTTAGCATTTATGTATTTCAACTTAGACATGTATCTCAACCACATGTCCACAGTTTTATCACTTTATACATCATACAAATTTACAACTTTCAACTTACACATATCTCCATTAAATCTATCTAGCCATTAACCATATAGGTATTCATTGTATACCAACACACATACAACTTAATCATCCATGTTCAACTACAATTCATCAAGAAACAACCAAAATACAGCATGTAAGTCGCACTCGATGTTACTCAAATGGTGTTCAACGCCATCAAGGCAGGGAACTCCTTGTCTCATCCACGCCTGGTGTTGCCTCACTTGCATGATTGAAAATAGAGAGTGCCCCATCCTCTTGCACCTAGCATAACAAAAACCATGCCCAACCCTAATTAGGTAGAGGGCTCTCAACCTATCTTAAGCCCAACGTCACATCCATTAGTGTCCGACATGGACCCAGGTAGAGACGAGTTTCTCTTCTCACATCTAGTGCCTTTCTAATCACGCTCGACACTAGTCCAACCTAAGTCCACTCCTTCTTCTCACACATGGTGTGGGGAAAAAAGAACCTCTCTAGTTGAACTGCGTTCGACGCGATAAAGACATGCCCAACATCACATTAACTTTGCACTTATGCAAAATTGATTTTTTGCCAAAAAAAAACCTGCACTTAGCAACTTAGCAACTTAACAACCAACAATTTGCAACATACCACAATTATACCATATTTACACCTCACAATTTCACCAATCAAGCAACATGCATCCCCTAATTTAGAGAGTCACCTCAAGTCAAAGAGTACAACTCGGTACTCCCATAACCCACTATTCAGCCATCACAATTTCAACAATACAACACAAAAATTAGGGGTTTAGAAGGGTACCAAATCAAAAAATGCGCAAGTCACAACCAAAATGCGAGCTTCCCTTACCTTTTTAGAGAGCCAAAACCTGCAAAAAAAAAAGAGGATTGAGTCATATAAGCTTCACTAGCTCCAAAAACCTTCTTCTATCACTAGATAGCTTCACATAAAAGAAAAGGAAGAGGGAGGTCTCAGCCAAGGAGAAGAAAAAGAGGTCCCTCACACAAGCCTCACACTCTCTACTAAACATAAGTGTTATACTTTTGGAGGGAGAAACGAAAACCTTTGGAGACAATAATAAAAAAATATATAATTGATTTTAAGTGAAAGAATGGAAAAAAATATTTATATCGATGATAGAATTCAAACTTAAGTATTTTTTAATAAGTTTTCACATAAAATAAGTAATAAGTTATATTAAACATCTTATAAAATATTTTATAAATTACTCATTTTTATAAGTTTATTCAAATATATTTATAAATATTTATAAAGTAAGATAAGTACAAATAAATTTTGGAGAAGAAGGAGCCAAAAAAGAATGTTACTTGTTATTAATATTTCGTTTACAATCTTAAGAAATGCGTGCTGCTTAGGCAACTATATATTAGTAAAGTAGTCCATTTTTTCATTGGGAATGCGGGCCTTACCAACAGAAATGGGCTTCCAGAATACGCTGTTCACTGTTATGGGTTGTATATATATATTTTTAGTTTATGATGTATACACCTTTTATCTATGAGTACACCTCCTTTTTTAAAAAAATAATTAAAATTTTAAAATATTTTTAATTTTTAATTTTTATTTTTTAATTTACATCCACAATATTTAATTTAGTACTTTTTTTTATACATCTTCTCTCTTTTTTTCAATTTTTACATGTACTCTCTTACCTTTCTTTCACCCCACCTATTTTGGTAGCATGTAAAAATTGAAAGGGAAAAAAAGTGTATGAAAAAGAAGAAGAAAGTAACAAATTAAAAATTGAAGGTGTAAAATTTTAAAAAAAAATTACAATATTTTATAATTTAAAAAAAAATAAAGGAGGTGTATTTATATAAAAAAAAAGGAAGTGTATACATCATGAGCCTATATTTTTTTAGTACATATATATGGGCTGTCTTATTTATGTATTTACAGGCTGTACCAACACAAAAACAAAAAAAAAAAAAATTAGAGGAAATAAACAATATCAATTGTTTTAATGGGCGGAAATTTTGACAAAAAAGAAAATGTGTCATATTAAATAGGCATGAAAACGGGGCAGCTTTTACGTTGCCCACTTCCACCTCAACCTTTTAAACCATATCTGCCTTCAATTCTCTCTACAGCTACAATTTCGATATCATCTCTATTTAACTCTCGTCAAGGTTCGTCTTTTTTTTTTTAAAGGGTGAAAAGAGACACAAAATAAATAAATAAATGAAGTCTAGCAACAACTTGCAACTAAGTTGGAGTAGAAGTAAAAAAAAAAAAAAAAAAAACTTGTCACCTATAAGTTCCTTTCTTAGTTAAAATGTCTCCAAAATTACTGTATTGTATATAAGATTATTCTTGTAATTATATATATTACAATAGAGGAGTGGGTGTGTGATAGATATTAACATCCTAACCCCTACCTTAACTTTAACAATAAAAAAAATTCAAATATGGTTAACATAGGTTTTACTCATTAAGAATACCCACGAACGAGTTCATTTGACATGCCTAATATTGAGTTTGTGTTAAGAAATTGTTGATGAGAATGAATATTTAATTATTTATGAGTGTAATCATGTTTAAGTCTCAAGATGGAATAAGTTAGTGTGTGAATTAAACTAAAATTTCACATCCTTAATGTGAAAGTTATAACTAGTAGTTTCAATTTTGACATAGATAACTACATCAAAATCAATACCAAACACAACTAGTTTACAAGCTTTTAGCCATCTTGTAGGAGAAACTTTTTTTTCTTCAAAATAATAAATGTTAGTTACAATTTACGTAAACAAATTTCTCACATATTTCACATATAAACGTGGATAAATTTTAGGATAATGTCATCAAATTTAATGTTATTAATATATTCATGTCATTAACAGATCCCAAATTTTATTAAGGATAACAAAGAAGAAATGGGACAACAAGCAACATTTTTTTCTTTCTTTCTTTTGAATTATTAATTGGAATCAGATTCAGTGAATGAGTCTAAAACAAAAGGATAAGCATGACGAAGTGACACAAACACTAGTTTGTCTGCTTTTGCCAACTCTTACCCAAGTAGCTACGTTGTTTGTTTGATTCCTTAGTAGGGGACTTGTCAATGAAATCAATTGAAACTAAAATTTGGTGCAATCAATGCATTACTATTAAGGAAGGCATGTTTTGTAAATGGCTCAAAAACAATGAAGGGAAATATGTCAGGAGATAAAGTTTGGTTGATAGTGGTTACCACTTTGAGGGATGATGGCTCACTTGCCACAAACTTTTGCATCAAACACAGAATGGCCACGTCTTCTTTTTTAACCTTCGGTCAGTGCCTGACAACAGTGGCATTTTTCTAAATAAAAAGTATGAATTTTATGCAATAAATTGTCATCACATCTCATTTATTTATTAAGCTTAAGATACGAATTTATTACATCATTTGATAACATATCATCAGATGATATTGCAAAACTTTACTTGTTAATAATGAATTTAAATTTATTTTCTACCCTTTAAGTTTTGATGTGAGAGAGAAATAGGCATTGTGTGTTGATTGCCATTTGTCAAATGAAAAGTAAAGAGTAAAAAACTGAATATAACCAAGTATACTTTATCTTGTTAGAAGCAAGTGGAGTTGTATAAGTTGCATATGAACATGGAGCAATGAAAAAGATAGATTGTGAAACCTAAAACAATTGGTGCTAGTGAATGCTGTTGAGCTAACCAGTAATTTTCTGTTTTTTTTGTTTTTTTCAAGGAAAAGCTGATGCCAGAACTTATAATAAAAGATGAAGGAAATTAGAGAATGAAAAAAATAGTGGAAATTTAACCTCACACTCAATTCATATCATATTAGTGATATTACCTAACTTATTCTAAACATTTGTTACACATATCATTATCGAAGAAATCATAAGGAATAGCAACAATACGACAAAACCACGTTGAAGTAATAATCCGAGTAAGCAGAGCAGTAACAGACTATTAGAACATACTAAATCTTGTGAATGGTATTTTTTAATGAATGAGACTCACGTAAATCTGAGTTTAATAATATTAAAGAATGCAAATCATGAACCACACAAGACAACGGAAGACACAAATATGAACAAAAGCATGAAGAATATGCTGGTCTCACCGTTCCGCACCAACCATGTGGTTCTCTTTCATTCTTTCTCTCCCGAACATGTCTTAATAAAATATGCACAACTCTTCACGTAAAACTCAAGAAACTCTCCACGTTCTGACTAATATTTGAGGAGTGTTTGTGGAGAGTGTTGTGCACTGCACTAGTATTACATCAAAGGAAACTTTGTAGATATCGTTATTGTTGTTACCGGAATTCGCAGGAGGTCAGCTCGGCTTGCTGGACGGTACAGCTATGGCTGGCAATGAATGGATTAATGGGTACCTTGAGGCTATACTATCCACTGGGGCTGGCACCGTTGATGAGCGAAAAACGGTGACTCCAAAAGAAAGTGGACATTTTAGTCCCACCAAGTACTTTGTGGAAGAAGTGGTGACCAGTGTTGACGAGTCTGATCTTCACCGGACTTGGATCAAGGTGGTTGCCACTCGTAACACCAGGGAACGTAGCTCAAGGTTGGAGAACATGTGCTGGCGCATTTGGCACCTTGCCCGCAAGAAGAAACAGGTATCAGTAACACCCTTTTGTTTTTCATCACATCATTGAGTCATGTATGCCTAATTGAGTGACTTTCACTCTGTTTAGATACAAGTTTAAAACAGTTTTTGATAATTTCTTTACTGAAATGACTATCACGTATGCCTAATTGATTGATTATCATTTTGTTTGGATACAAGTTTAGAAAAACTTTTGAGAACTTCTTTACTGAAAATAGAGAGCTTTCTTTGGTAGAGAAGTTCTGAAAAATACTTCTGTATCCAAACAGACTCTATGTAGTTATGAATTGTGAGTAATGTTAATGGGGGCACAATGTGTAGTTGGAAGGGGAGGAACTGCAGAGACTAGCAAACCGGAGATGGGAGAGGGAACAAGGACGCAGGGACGCAACAGAAGACATGTCTGAAGATTTGTCAGAAGGGGAAAAGGGGGATGGCATTGGAGAGATGCCAATTGAGACGCCAAAGAAAAATCTCCATAAGCAGATTTCCAACTTGGAAGTTTGGTCTGATGATAAAAAGGAAAAGAGGCTTTACATTGTCCTCTTAAGGTAATAACATCAATTCTTAACATCCACATATTCATTTTGCATTGAATGAAAATGTGTTTAGCCAAATTTCTTGATTGTTTTACCAAGGTATATGAATAAGGTAAATGAATTACCTTACTATGACCCTTGCCCTTTGATAGTTTGCATGGTTTAGTTCGAGGAGAAAACATGGAGCTTGGTCGAGATTCTGATACTGGTGGACAGGTATTTAACATTCTTAGATTTCTTTTATATTATATATAGGAATTACAATGATTGCAACAGGATTTGAAACTAAAACACTGATCATACAACTTCAACCTCCACTATAATAGTTATTTGACATTCTTACCTGAATAAGCTGATTCTGACCCTCCAATTTAATGATAAAACTTTCATGCAATACTATAAGAGCGTTACTACTATTTGTATTAGAGTTTTACTTAGTAATATGAGTAATAAATGTGTCAACCTATATTATGAAAGTAAAATTTCTGTAGTACTGTATCTACGTTTTTTCTCCATTTAATTGGTTTTTAATTTGAATGATTCAATCAATGCATTACCAGATTAAATATGTGGTAGAACTTGCTCGTGCACTAGCAAAAATGCCGGGAGTGTATAGAGTGGATCTCTTCACACGCCAAATCTCATCTCCCGAAATTGATTGGAGCTACGGAGAGCCTACAGAAATGTTAACAGCAGGCACAGATGATGATGATAATAACATTGGAGAGAGCAGTGGTGCATATATCATAAGAATACCCTTTGGTCCGCGAGATAAATATCTACAGAAAGAACTTCTTTGGCCCCATATTCAAGAGTTTGTGGATGGAGCTCTAGCTCACATTCTCAACATGTCAAAAGTATTGGGTGAACAAGTTGGTGGGGGACAACCTGTGTGGCCACACGTGATTCATGGACACTATGCAGATGCTGGAGATAGTGCTGCTCTTCTTTCAGGTGCCTTGAATGTGCCAATGGTGCTCACGGGTCATTCACTTGGACGGAACAAGCTAGAACAGCTTCTTAAGCAAGGGCGTCAATCAAAGGAGGATATTAATTCAACATATAAGATAATGAGGAGAATAGAAGCAGAAGAACTTTCCCTTGATGCTGCTGAACTTGTTATCACTAGTACAAAACAAGAAATTGAGGAGCAATGGGGTCTTTATGATGGGTTTGATGTCAAGCTTGAGAAAGTTTTGCGTGCTCGTGTCAGACGTGGTGTCAATTGTCATGGTCGATACATGCCTAGGATGGCGGTAAGAATGCAATTTACTCAATCCTGGAAAGTCATAATGTTTTTTTTTTTTTTTTTTTAAGCCTTGGTGAAACATCTTTTGGAGAAGGAAACAACTCTAACAAGTACCAACTTTGAATGTTGTATATGAAGTACTAATGGTTCAAACTTGTATAGGTTATCCCGCCTGGAATGGACTTTAGCAATGTTGTGATACAAGAAGATGGCCCTGAAGTTGATGGCGAGCTCACACAGCTTACTAGTGGTGCTGATGGGTCTTCACCGAAGGCTCTACCTTCAATCTGGTTAGAAGTGAGTAACTAACATGTCTATAAGTCAAAGAATTTTAAACTTTTTCTATAAGTCAAAATTAACTTACGTATTTTAACTACCATGACTAGCAAGTTGCAACTAATAACTTTGTACAGGTGATGCGTTTCTTCACAAATCCTCATAAACCTATGATCTTAGCCTTGTCAAGGCCAGATCCAAAAAAGAACATAACCACTCTGCTTAAAGCTTTTGGAGAATGCCGTCCCTTAAGAGAATTAGCTAATCTTGTAAGTTGACATACTTCAACTGCTCACTTGGTTGGTTGAGAACTTGTAAAAGAACTAATATATTTTCAAACAGACGCTTATAATGGGAAACAGGGATGACATAGATGAAATGTCCTCTGGGAATGCTAGTGTGCTCACAACAGTGTTGAAATTGATTGATAAGTATGACCTTTACGGGCAAGTGGCATACCCAAAACATCACAAGCAATATGATGTTCCGGAGATATATAGATTTGCTGCAAAAACAAAGGTATATAATTCATTCAAGTTTTAATATATATTAGAGATCTAACTTGGCTAACTAATTTGAAATTTCTCTCAGGGTGTTTTCATAAATCCGGCTTTGGTGGAACCCTTTGGTCTTACTTTAATTGAGGTAGGTTTTTTAACTAACTAACTAACTAGACACTTTTGTAATATTGTTCTTATTTTAATGCCAAAGTTATTATTGAATATGCTTAAACTCATGCAGGCAGCTGCTCATGGACTTCCAATGGTGGCCACTAAAAATGGGGGGCCTGTGGACATTCATCGGGTAATTCAAGAATTGAGTTTTTCTTGTTAGTTACATGATGCATGCCAGAAGTTCATGAATTATTTTGTTATATGGATCAAGGCATTGGAAAAAGTAAACATAGAACTTAGTCATGCAAACAAAAGTTTAAATTTCTGTCAGGAGAGGTGTTTACATTTAATGTCCAAGTGAGTTTCGAATAAGATTATCTCAGAATGAGGATGTCATAAGAAAATGCAACAATATATAGTGATTTGGATATTAGGATCTGTTTGGATAAGTTTCTCTATAAGCACTTATAGGAGATAAAAATAAGAAAGAAAATCAAAATAAGTTTTTCTATAAACTAAAACTAACTAATACATGAGTTAAAAATAAGATTATGGAGAAGTTAATAGGAGATAGCTTCTACAAAATAGTATATGATATGCATAAGATAATTTTAACTTACGAAGAAATTTATTTTATTTTTCTTTTCTAGAAGTACTTTTGGAGAAGTTTACACTATAAGATCCTTAGTTGTCAAAATTTGTATTTTCGTGGTTTATTTATTTTAGAGAAAAAAAACGTGATCAACACCTTATTATATGGTCAATTGTGATGTTAGGCCCTGAACAACGGTTTACTTGTGGACCCTCATGATGAAAAAGCAATTGCTGATGCATTGGTGAAGTTGCTGTCAGAGAAAAACCTGTGGCATGAGTGCAGGAAAAATGGTTGGAAGAACATACACCTTTTCTCATGGCCTGAACACTGCCGCACTTACTTGACCCGGGTGGCTGCATGCCGGATGAGGCATCCACAATGGCAAACCAACACTCCAGAGGATGATAAAGCTGTTGAAGAAGAAGAGTCACTTAATGATTCTCTCAAGGATGAACATGACATGTCCCTAAGGCTCTCAATTGATGGTGACTTGGCTGCAGCAAGTGGCGGTCTAGATGTGCAAGACCAAGTGAAACGCATTCTAAGCAAGATAAGGAAGCCAGATTCTGGTTCAAATGGTAATGGCGGTGGTGGAAATATCAACATGGTTCTTGACAATGCAACTAGCACCAGCACTAGCAGTAGCAAATATCCTCTATTGAGGAGAAGGCGTAGGTTGATTGTTATAACACTTGATTTGTATGACAAAAATGGAGCTCCAGAGAATAAGATGATTGAGATAATGCAAAAGATAGTTAAAGCTGTTCAGTTAGACCCTCAAACTGCTAGAGTTACAGGGTTTGCTTTATCAACTGCTATGCCAGTGGTGGAAACAATAGAGTTCCTTACATCAGGCAATGTTCCAGTAAATGAGTTTGATGCTTTAATTTGCAGTAGTGGGAGTCAAGTTTACTACCCTGCAGGACCTGGTATCAATACAGACGAAGGAAAGCTCTTGCCTGATCCAGATTATGAGGTGCATATTGACTATCGTTGGGGGTGTGAAGGTCTTAAGAAAACCATTTGGAAACTTATGAATGGTGAAGAAAATGCTGAAAAACCTTCCTACCCCATTGAGGAAGATCCGAAATCCAGCAATTCTCATTGCATCTCTTACAAAATAAAGGATCATACCAAGGTATATTTATATATACACGTGACATTTACTAACACTTGGTCACTATATATATTTGACCCCATTCTAAATAGGAACTAAAACTTACAATTTTCTTGTATGAGAACTAACGGTAACACTGAAAAATAAAAATAATGATAAGGACTAAGTGAATAGTTTAACCTATATTAATGTACATATAATGGTTGGCGATACTTGTAACCCTGTTAGTTAATTGTGTACTAATTTCAGGCAAAAAAGGTTGATGAATTGAGGCAGAAGCTTAGGATGCGAGGTCTACGTTGTCATGCTATGTACTGCAGGGGATCATCTAGAATGCATGTTATTCCACTTCTTGCATCTAGAGCCCAGGCACTAAGGTATATATATATATATATAATTAACACTTGATGCTTTCTAATAAATATTTGCAAACAGTTCTTATTAAGTAATTGAATGCTTATCGTGTAAATGTTAGGTATCTGTTCGTACGTTGGAGATTGAATGTTGCAAACATGTATGTGATCCTTGGAGAAACCGGGGACACTGATTATGAAGAAATGATTTCTGGAACTCACAAGACCATAATCATGAAGGGAGTGGTGTCTAAGGGTTCTGAAGAGTTACTCAGAGGTCCAGGAAGCTACCAAAGAGATGATATTGTCCCTAATGAGAGTCCTCTTGTTGCATACATCAATGAAATAACACCCGAAAACATAGCTAATGTTTTGAAGCAACTTTCCAAATCTGGATAATCTGAAAGGCTACAGTATATTATCTACATTTTCTAATTTGCTTTCCTTCAAAAAGACTAAACGATTAATAAATTTATGAGAAATGTTAATTACACCTTTTATAATGTTACCGCTGTCTTATTAATATACATTTTTTTATTTGTTAAAAATCATAAATTTTGGTGAATCTTGTCACTAAATTAAAATAAATTCAATAAATAAAATGTGAGATTGACAAAATTTGTGTTTTATAGTAATTTTAGTTAATGATAAAAAAAGAGCGATAGAAAGAGAGTAATTTGTATTTTTAAATAATTTTTAGTTAATAATAAAAAGTAATTGAAAAAAAATACTAGAGAGAGTTGTTAGCATTTCCTAAATTTATTTATTTTCACATTACAAAATGGAAATGGGATGTAAATTATCTGTGACCTGATGCATATATTGAATCTAGCCAAAATGTTGCTAGGTCGATTTTCTTTGTTACAAAATATGCTTTTCATGCAACTCACTATCCCTTAGTCCTGATAAACTAATTTCCCCTAAAAAAGCTAATTATATAGATGTTTAAATGATCAAAACTGTATTTTCTTAAATATTGTCATTATTTAATATCTGAAAAATGCTATATTTCTACGTGACTTTTTACATATTCTTTTTGATATTTATTCAAAAAAAAATTTAAAAAAATTATTTGGGTTCACAAACTAACCTCCCAACCTGCAGCTAATGCAAGGCGCATTTGGTAATTTATATTATGGGCTTGTGTGTGGGCCAATCTGATCTCATCCAACCCATTTACTTGGGAGCTTATGTAAAGGTTGAAACTAGTCTCTTTACTTTCAATTTGGATCCTTTCCTGCAATTTTCTCTCTCTAGCCCCTCTCCTGCAATATTAATAACCATCAGATATATCTAATAGCTCAAATTTAATCATTTAAGAAGTTACATTAATTATAAGATTAAATTTGGACTATTAGATATATTTAATGGTTATTAATGTTACAGGAAAGAGGCTGGAGAGAGAAAATTGCAAGAGATGATCCAAATTCCTTTACTTTAGCACCTCACTGATAAAAGAGAAATAAAAGAGAAGTCAAAAACATTATAGATTGCTCTACATTGAATTGAATACACCAACAAGTCTAATTTCTCCATTATAGGATTAATTAATTTTCTAAGAAAATTGTATTTGCAGCTGAAGCGCAAGTTTGGACTTAAGTGCAGAGTTTTATTTTAGGTGTTAAAAATATTTTCAAGTGACAATTATTACATTTCAAAATGTTTGTTCAGTTAAAGTCATTTTCAGTGAATCTTTATTGCACTGTGTATATAAAAAAAAATTCACTTTAACCAACATCAAAATATTCACTTTTAAGCGCTTTATATCCCATCTTTCTCTTTGTTGGGCTTCCAGTAATGTAATCATGACCATTTTTCTTCATGTTTTTATACTAAAATTAATATAGCCAAATTATTATTTAGAAGAACACATGCTAATAGATATAAAATTAATAAGATAATTTATGGTTTATAAAAATATCTTAATGTATATAAATAAATAACGTACGAACTTAATGTACTATGAATGATAAAATTAATACGTTACCATGAACATGCATGTGGGTACCCGTTCGATTCCGCCCTAATTTAAACAAAGAAAATCTGTATTGACTGGGTTTAGATTTGGGTTTTTTTCTGCTTGGAAAAATTGGGGACGGAGCGGAACCCGTCCCGCCCCCACACTCATACTCGTACCCGTCCCTGTCTCTACTCACACTTAATAATATAATTACAAAACTACCCTTTTATATATATATAAACCAAAATTAAAAACTCTAGCTTCATTTTTAGTCACGAAGTTCACCTCATGCGACAGTAGGCCGACAACTCTCACCTCTTAATCTCTTCATCTCTTCATCTTTCTTAGAGTCACAAACGCAGGCCACAACTCTCTCTTTTTCATCTCTTCATCCGGGCTCAAGTGAGATTGGGTGTGTTTGGATAAATTGCTGCCATTATTGCCATATTTTTGTGATATTAAAGTTGTTCTTTTGCTTGATTCCTCTATTTTTTCCTGTTTAGAAAATGAATCTTCGTGACTTGCCACAGATCACTTGCTTTTACCCTATCGTTCATTCTGGAAAGCTCCACATTGTAGTTATTTCAAAGAGCTCATCCCACGTGTGAAGGTGAATATTGGGCTGCTTCAATTAATTACATACTTCCTCTTATATCAAATTTAAAGGTAAGCATAGCAGAATTTGCACTCCCAATTTATTTGTAGGAGGTTGTGTGCGGGATCTTAAAATTACGTGATGAATAATATATATTAACTCATTTTGTAGGTTGAGAACATTTTTATTTGGTGCTGGTACTCTGTTGTTGGGTTAGTCAAACAGGCCATGTGAGAGTATCTTGAATTTTGTCCGTTTAGGTTGTTTTTTAATCTTTCCTTATCTTTGATAAAATATGCATATCAGAATCTTGACTTGCATATCAGAATCTTGACTTCAAATCTTTGACATTTTAAAATCTTTACATTGAAAATGATGTTGGTAGTGCATATTTGTTGCACACATGTTATGTTATGTACAAAATTCATATTATGTTCGGCTTGTTGCACGCATGAGAAACGCCTCCAGTTTTCTTGTTCCATTTTTTTTATTTTAAGATATTTGTTTCCCCCTTTTTGTCTTTGTCATATTTGATTTCTCATATTTAGTAGTTATTTTTTAAAAAAAATTCTTAGAAATATAGTTTTTTGGGATTATTTTTATTTTATTTTCTCATAAAAATGGTTCTCTTAGATGGATAAAGACAAACTATTTTTATTTTATTATACCTACTACATCCAATAATAGGAATGCCTCACATTCTAGTTAATTGTTGATCTGCTAAATAAGTGTTATAGTAAATAATTTATAGTGCAGTTAATTTATTTGTATAACTATTATAGTGCAATTTTTATAATGAATGCATTTTTTTTATACTTTTTGACAGATTTTTTTAAAGAAAGTAATGACAGATATTAATATGACACCAGAAAGTATACCTCAATCAATATTCCATAAGGAAATTGTGATTCTTCAAGTGTTGGTACTACTCAAACAATTGAACCTCAACCTCAAAAGATATAACAGGTGATAATATGGAATAGACAAGTACACAAACAAGGGCAAATAGGCTTAAATGTGAGGGTTGGAAGCATTTTACAAAAGTTAAAGTTAATGGAGAAGACAAAGCTCAATGCAATTATTGTAAGAAATATTTAGTTGGAAAATCAAAAAATGGAACAAAGCACTTATGGCAACACATGGAATTTTGTGTAACTAAAAAGCACTTATTTAGTTAATTGTTAATCTACTAAATAAGTGTTATAGTAAATAATTTATAGTGCAGTTAATTTATTTGTATAACTATTATAATGCAGTTTTTATAATGCAATAAAGTGAATGCATTTTTTTTTATACTTTTTGACATATTTTTTTAAAGAAAGTAATGACAGATATTATTATGACACCAGAAAGTACACCTCAATCAATATTCCAGAACGAAATCATGATTCTTCAAGTGTTGGTACTACTCTTGCAATTAATGAACATGTTTAAACAATTGAACCTCAACCTTAAGATATAACAGGTGATAATATGGAAGAGGCAAGTACACAAACAGGGCCAAGGAGGCTTAAAAGTGAGGTTTGGAAGCATTTTACAAAAGTTAAAGTTAATGAAGAAGACAAAGCTCAATGCAATTATTGTAAGAAACATTTAGTTAGAAAATCAAAAAATGGAACAAAGCACTTATGGCAACGCATGAAATGTTGTGTAACTAAAAAGCAAACATTTCTTATGCCTAAGGTCATGCAAGGCAAGCAAGAGTTGGGTACAGGAACTTATGATGCAGAAAATGCAAGAAGAGAACTTGCATATGCAATCATTATCCATGAATATCCACTTGCAATTGTGGATCATCTTGGTTTTAGGAGATAACTATTGTTTCAAGTTCCTAGTAAAAATACAACGAAGAAAAAGATATTTAAAATCTATGCATTTAAGAGATCAATTGCTTTAAAGTTGTTGGATAGTCTTCAAGGAATAGTGACTATTACATCAGACATTTGGACATCAAGTAATCAAAAAAAGAAGGTACATGGCAGTCACAACTCATTATATTGATGGGAATTGGAACTTGCAAAGTCGTATTTTGAGGTAATAGTTTTCTTTAACTTATTTGCACAATTAAAATTTTATTGTGTTAGATTCATTTATGTTCCCGCTCCTCACTTAAGTGATAAACTTTGTAATGTATTAGTTGATTTGATGGATTGGAACATTGACACAAAATTGTCCACTATCACATTAGATAATTGTAGCACAAATAATGTTATGATTGAAAAAATTAAGGATAAGTTACCGGTAAACACTTTATTGAGGGATGGTTCTTTGTTTCATATGCGTTGTTGAGCACATATCTTGAATTTGATAGTAAAAGATGGGTTGGAAGTGGTGAAAGATGGGGTAGAAAGATTCGGGATAGTATAGCATATTGGACAGCAACTCTTAAGAGAAAAGAAAAATTTGAAGACAGCAAAATAATTGAGAATCCCTTACAATAAGAGTTTGGTTTTAGATTGTCCAACTAATAGAATTCGATGTACAAAATGCTTGAAATTGTCATAACATATGAGGATGTGTTTAGTCGGGTAAAGCAACGGGAGGCTCAATATAAATGTTTGCCTACTACTTTACAATGACAATTTGCAAAAGATGTGTGTGGAAAACTGAAATTGTTCAATGCTATCACTGAATTATTTTCTGCTACTAAGCATCCAACTGCTAATATGTATTTTCTAAAAATTTGTGAGATTAAATTGGCAATAGGTAAATGGATAATTTCTCCCAATGATTTGATTCAAAAAATGACAGAAAAGATGTTGAGTAAATTTGAAAAATATTAGGGTGTGATTCATGACATAATGAGAGTTGCAACTGTTTTGGATCCTATATATAAAATGGAGTTGCTTGAATACTATTATGAAAAGTTGAATGATCATGAATCTTTTTCTCAAGTTAGGATGATTCGATGATTTGATTTCTGATTATCAACTGAAAATAAGTAAAGATTTAG